AGCAGCTCTGCCTCCTGGTCTGCACCCGTGAAACCCTCCCAGGCAGGACAGAGCCCAGCACGGTGACAGCCCCAGTGCTGGGAGCACAGTAATTAGAGCCCGTGCTTTATAAAGAGGCACCCCTGGCTCTGCTCCTCCTCTGGGAGCTCCTTGTTATCTGTGTGCTGTGTGCCTGGCGCGGGCTGAGCTGTTCTCAGCCCTGCTCTGTCAGTTTGAAACCTGGAATCAGGCCCCTCAGATCTCTGCAAGCGAGGAGCTGCTCCTGTGCTGGGGGGATTCTTGCCTTACAGCTGGAGCTGCCAGCCCGGATGGGAGCGCAGCAGGGTTCTCCTGGCTTTGGGAGAACGGGAAATAATTCTGTATTTCACTGCGCACTCCTGTACACGGTTGTGTCAGAGATTATGCAGAAAATGGAAAATGCGTTTTATGGGGATTTTGGCATTCGCTTTCAATCCTATTAACAGAAAAACCCCACCTTTGTGTCAGGAATGCTGAAGTCATTGGTGACAGAGACACTTAAAAGGAAATTTCTGTTGATTCCAATGCTTGACAAAGTCACTATTTTCATTTTCCACATGTAAGAGATTTAAATAATAATAAGGAATAACAAAAAGGAGACAGATAAAAACTTTCCTTTTAAAATGTCAGGGTGCTGGGTTTGTGTTTTCTGAGCTTTATCCTTTGACTTACCTGCACCTTCCACCCCTTTTCCAAATGGAATTTAGTTTTCAGGGAGTGCCTTTTGAAAAGCCTTTTCAGGCTCTGACTGATGATCCGGTGGGATTGCTCTGGGTGAGCTCTTTTCCATAACTTCTGCAGAACCATCAGAAACTGCTCTTTGAAAACTAAAGCTGACAAATTATTTGGGTGCCCTGGGTTGTTTGTGTAAATTTTAGGCAGCTTGAGACTCTTTTGAAGAAAAGAACACTGAGCAGTGGCCAGGTGCTCCTTGGAAGGGTTTGTGCTGCAGCACAGGAGGAATGTTGTCCTCATTTCCGTGGTATTTTTGCTCCAGGAGAAAAAACAAAATGCAGCTGTATTAGAGATTATTACCTGAGAATTCCTAGGCCAGTTGGAATTATTACCTTTTTTCTTCCCTCAAAGATATTAAAATAATATTTAAAAACTAGTTTTACCTCCAGGAGCACTTTATTGATTTCCTCTTTGATTCTACTGCTCTTTGGCCATTGTGGAAACATTTAAACCTCCCAAACTTTCTGTGAATTTGGACATAAACCACAACTGTTAAAATTCTGTGTAGTGTGGATGGGTTTTTTGGATTTTTGTTGTTGCTGTGTCCCCTCCTTGTCCTGGGAGGGACTCAAAGCCCAGCCAGGGACAGGTGTCCCAGGTGGCAGGGACACCTCCCACTGTGCCAGGCTGCTGCCAGCCCCAGTGTCCAGCCTGGCCTGGGGCACTGCCAGGGATCCAGGGGAGCTGCTGGATGGACACTGTGTCCTGGAGGGATGGACACTGTGTCCTGGCGGGATGGACACTGTGTCCTGGCGGGATGGACACTGTGTCCTTGTGGGATGGACACTGTCCTGGCAGGATGGACACTGTCCTGGAGGGATGGCCACTGTCCTGGCAGGATGAAGGGCTCTGTGGCCAGTGCTCTGCCCACAGGCAGGTGCCAGCCCAGGAGCACGCTGCCTCTGTTGCTGTGCTCTGTTCCCGTGTGCCGTGGGGTACAGACCCAAAGCACGGATTCCCCTGGAGTTCGTTCTCCCTCCAGCTCCCATCTTGTGTCGCCAGCGGGAGGGAACGGGTGCAGGAGAGTTAAACACACAGAAGGAAACGAAGCAAAAAGCCAAGTGTGAAGTCTGGGAATCAGTCTTGAGTATTTGTGCAAACTGTTGAACGAATACTTGCAAACAACAACTAAATTTAGCTCTTTGAAATGGTTCTAAACAAAAATATGCAGCTGAATTACAGGGAATTATCATATGGCGTTAGCAGGGCTGGGTTTGAGGGACCTGGTGCTAAAGCAGCCAAACGCAGTCAGAGGGAGCTGGAGGTGCCTGCTGGGGAGGGTTCCTGTCTGCCCTCACGGGGAGTGCTCACTTGCCAGCCCCGTGCTGACGGCCAAAGGCCAGTGACAGCCTGGCATGTGGCAGAGCTGATTGTCCCCCTGTGCTGGCACTGCGCGGGCACCTCCAGTGCAGTGGGCACGGGCTGGACTCCGTGGGCTGGGAGGGCTTTTCCAGCCTCAGGCATTCTGTGAAACACTTATTCTGTGTGTGCACACATAGAGAGTTTTCCTCTTTTATTCTTCCCCCCCCCACCCTAAAATTCTTCCTGGGTTAGGGGAGGAGGTGGGGCAGATCCAGATGAAAGATTTCAGTCTCCAGACCAGCCCTGATTGGCACTACTGCTCCTGACCTGCTCATTTTTCCATTGATCTACAAATAACGTGAAAGGCAAGATATGAATCTAAAAATGAACAAAACAAAAAGCTTCATCTTTGTTATTATTGATTGAGATTTATAGGATCTTTTGCAAAGTGAATAAATGGTGCTGTGGGGAGATGCCTTTTGTCCTACTCACTCAAAGAGGAGCTAATTATTTGATTGTTTGTTAAGGTCAAGCGAGAGGAACATCATTTGGCTCATTAAAGGTTACAGAGCTCTCTCTGAAATGAGATGTGCACTGTTACATCCTGGGTGATCTGAGTGCTGTGTGAAGTTTGTCACATCCAGGCCCCGAGTCCCGTGTGGGCCCTGCTCTGGATGGGTTTGCAGGGATTGCTGGAGCTCACAGTGGTGTTCCCCTGAGGAGCACAAAGGCTGCTGGAGTTTGTGCCTCAGGAGTGCATGCTCTGGGCAGGTGTCCGAGGAGCTGTGCAGCTCTGCTAGAGGAGGGACCATGTTTCACTGAGGATTGCAGCTCTGCAGGACCAGGCTCCACTCTGAGGGGTCAGAGCTCTCCGGGGTGCACCCCATTGTCAAAGAGTTGTGATGGAAAGGGAAATATCTCCTTTGGGTGCATCCCAAAGGGGATGGAAGGAGGAGCAGAAAGCCTTGAGGAGCAGGGGTGGGGGTTTGCTGCTCCCCTTGTCACAGCCCTGTCTGGTTCCTGGAGCCCTTCAGGACCCTTCCCTTTCCAGCTACCTGCTGTGGGATGCGTTTGGTTGTTCCCTGGAGAAGCTCCCGGCTCTGGAGAGGCCCTGGGGGGGTGACTGTGAGTCTCTGAGTGGGCGGGGGGTGGTGGCAGGCTGAGGGGTGGACAGCTGCACCTCTGTGAGTGAGAGCACCCATACCGTGTGCCCAGCCAGCTCCCATTGCATGGCAGAGTTCCCAACAACACTTCTGGCACTTTGTGCTCACTGGTGCCAGTGAGAAGCTCCTGCTGCCACGTTCCGAGGGCTGGGCACTGTGGGCTGTGGCAGCTGCCCGTGTGGCACGGGGTGTGTCACTGGGCACTTGTGTTTGCTGCTCAAAGGAGCTCTGTGCCCTCCCAGCCACCCTGGGGAGCCAGCCCCGCTCTCCCCTCTCCTTCCCTGCCAAGGAAACTCTGCAGCCTCAGTGCTGCAGGAGAACAGGAAGAATTCCCTTTTGTGTTCGCTCGAATTTCTTCTGGCAGCTGGAAGCATCTAATGGGATGTGGTAATGAAGGGAGAAGCTTCCAGGAACGGGGATCTGGCCTTCCCGAAAGAGCCACCGGCAGAAGCATCCTGTTGTTACAGATCTGCTTCAGCTGGAACATTCTAGTCCCAAATCCTTCCCATGCCAGCCGTGGGGAGGGGAGGGGGGCGCACAGAGCGGTGCCCTGGCAGGGGATGAGCGGGACAGGGACAGCGGCACAGGCGGGCCGGGCTGTGGGAGGGACAGTCGGGACACTGTGTGCCAGATGTGCCGGAATCACCCTGGAACAGCCCCAGCGGAGTATTCCTGCAATTCCTGCTCCGCAGCGGCCCTGACGCAACTTCTCTGGAGCTCCAGAGGAGAGGAATTCCTGCGGGGAGCCGGGCCGAGCCTGCACGGTGCAGCCGGGGGTCTGTGAAGGGCTCAGCCTGGAATGTTTAACCTGGAAAGGGGGACAAAGGGTAAACACAGGCAGCAAACAGAACTGCTGCGTCTGCCACAGCCTGCCAGGGGTTTGTGTGTGCTGGAGAAGACCCCAGGGAAAAGAGGCTGCTCATTCCTGGCTGTCTGCAGCGAGTTCGGCTGCCAGGGGATGTTTTGCTTTTTTGAAGGGCTCTAGGTGTCCCAGTAGAAATTTGGAAAGAATCTGTCTGTGGATTTATGTTCCCTGGGAAAAGGCTCTTGATGGCCTGGTAGAATCTGTCAGGGAGGGTCTCCAGATGCCCTGCTGGAATCTTGGGGAGGAATGGGGGTGGTTTATCCCTCCTTGGTGTGAAGGTCGCTGGCTGTCCAGGTAGAATTCTGGGAAATCATCTGTCAATGGATTTTTGCTCCTTGGCAAAGGCTTCTCCATATCCTGGAAGAATCTTTCAGTGGATTTTAGGTCCTTGGCAAAGGTCTCTAGATGCCCTGGTAGAATTCTGGGAAATAACAGATCAGTGGGTTTTAGCTCCTTGGTGAAGATCTCTGAATGTCTTAGGACAATTTTAGGAAATAATCTGTTGGTGACTTTTCTTCCTCCTTGGTAAAGGTCTCTGGCTTCCCTGGTAGAATCTGGGGAAATAGCCTGTCAGTGGTTTATTTGCTCTTCGGTGAAGGTCTCCAGCCTAGATTTTTTTTTTTCTAGATGGAATATTAGGAAATGGAAGTACCGGAGTGGGCAACCCCGTGTTCCAGAAAGGTCTGGACCTTCCAGCAGGTCCCAGCGGAGCTGCCGGTGCCGTTCCCGGCGCTGGCTCTTGCCAAATCGGCCAGCTTCCACTCCGGGGCCGCGGGGTGGGCGGGCCGGGCTGCGGGAGGGCGGAGCGGGCGGCCCGGCAGAAGAGGGCCGAGCATCCCTCCGCCGCCGGGCCGGTTGCCAGGGCGACGGCTGCGTGGCAACGGGCTGGCAGCGGGGACCGCCCGCCGGAGCCTCGCCGGGAGCAGCAGCGCTCGCCCGCGCTCCGCCGCCGGGGCCGGCGCGGAGCGGAGATGGTGCCGCTGCTGCGGAGCGCCGGCGGCTCCCACCGGTGGCTGCCCGTCGTTTTCCTCGGCCTTTGCTGGTTCCTGCCTCCCGGGAGATTGGCCGCGCCGGGCGGAGACTTCCCGGGCTCTGCCGTGGACAATCTGGTGGTCAGGAAAGGGGACACGGCCGTGCTGAGGTAGGAGGCGGCGGCGGGCGGCAGGGATGGGGCACGGAGCTGCCGCAGCATCGCCGAGCTCCGGCGGGGCCCGGGCTGCCCCGGGCTGCGGGATCCGTCCCCTGCAGCGCCGGGCCGCCCGCCGGCTCCCGGCGCGGTTTCCTTCCGCGGTTTGCCCCTTTGCCCTCCATTGGGGAAGCCCTGGCTGTTGCTGGAAGTTTAGAAATGGGGTGTCGGGGTGGAACGATGCAGTTTTGGCTTCCAGCAGCAGTTTGGTGGCTCTGCAGAGCGAGCAGCGCGGGGCTGTGGCAGGGAGAGGACGACTAAACCCTGCCAGGAGCGTTAGCATCGGCATTATTTATTTTGATACACAGTTCTATATTTCCCAACGATTGGAAGGCTGGCTCCATGCCACGAGGAGATTTTGTGCTTCCCGTGGCTCTGTTCCTGCCTCTCCTAATGGACCCTGTGCTCCCGGATCTCCTGTCTCTTGACTGGAGCAAATTTGTTTACCAGCAATCAGACACCACAATCTACTCGAACCTATCCTCTGCCTTGATATAATTTTCCCCCAGCCCCCACTGTAACTTTTTATCCGTGTGTTCCACTTTGCCTTGATCCTACCACAGTTCCAAGCCCCCATTTTCTCCTTCTCTGGAATACGGTTTCAGTCGGTTGAAGCTCCTGGCTGGTGAGAAATCTGATTTAATTAGCAGCACTTCTCAGCTGTGAGGTCTCTGGCTGCATTATTTTTTGTTGGGCTGTCACGGAAATCTCGAGGTTACAATGCATTTTATCCACGAGCATTTTTAATGATCCAAGAGTCTGCTGTAAAATGCTGCATGAGGCATTTTCGGTAGCGATTTGGAAGCGTTTTTAGGCTGCTCCTGTTGTAGTAGCTCCTGAAAATACAGTAGATGTCTATGTAGGGCAGCTGACAAGTGGTTTTTATGTGTACCTCAATTATCCTCTGTATTTTGAGACGTGCTCAGGTCCTCGTGCCTTCTGTGGCACAAATGGAGAATCAAAGGAAATAACAATTAAAAAGTGGTTTATTTGTACTGTTGCAGGGAAAGTAACTTGATGGGTTCAGAGGCTGTTAAGGCACACTCAGCCGCTATTAAACACTGTTAGTGCTCAAATATGTTCCAAGCTGCCTTATTAAAGAGCGGTGCGATGGCTCCCGAGGTGAGCTCCGCCGGGGCTCGGCTGGAGCCCAGCCCGGCCGCCGGGCCTGCTGCCTGCAGCTCGCTGCCGGTGCAGCTGGGCGCGTTACATAAACGAGCTGGGAGCTCGGGGCTGCCGGGGAGCATCCCTGGGGTCTCGCTGGTGTGTGTGTTTGGGCAGAGGCTGCTGCAGGAAGCGCTGGCAGCGCTGCTGAGCCCCGGCGCGGAGCGGCGGGATGCTGGAATGCCGGTGCTGCGGCTGGCTCTGCTCCTCGTGCCCTCGGGGGGTAAAACGGGGGTTATTCTGGTGTCAGCTGCTAACCTGAGCGGGGAAAGGCAGGATGGCAGCGTGGCCAGGCTCCTCGGCCCGAGCCTCTGCTGCCCGTCACCTCCGCTCCTCCGGGGCTGTCCCTGCCGGCAGGTGCTGTGAATGTGCCTCAGTGCACAGGGAAGGGATTGCTCTGGCTGCTGGGAGTATCGGAAATCGGCTCTTTGTTTAAACTGCAGCGGGCTGGGAATTTGGGCGCTGGGGAAGGAGTTTGTTTGCTGCTCGGAGCTCCGGAGCTGGCTGCTCTCAGCCGTGCCCGCACACCGGAGCTGGCTGCTCTCAGCCGTGCCCGCACACCGGAGCTCTGAGCCGTGAGCCGTGCCCGCAGCTCCGGAGCTGGCTGCTCTCAGCCGTGCCCGCACACCGGAGCTCTGAGCCGTGCCCGCAGCTCCGGAGCTCTGAGCCGTGCCCGCAGCTCCGGAGCTCTGAGCCGTGCCCGCAGCTCCGGAGCTCTGAGCCGTGCCCGCAGCTCCGGAGCTCTGAGCCGTGCCCGCAGCTCCGGAGCTCTGAGCCGTGCCCGCAGCTCCGGAGCTCTGAGCCGTGCCCGCAGCTCCGGAGCTCTGAGCCGTGCCCGCAGATCTGGAGCTCTGCTCTCAGCCGTGCCCGCACACCGGAGCATTCTCTGCTCAGCCGTGCCCGCAGCTCCGGAGCTGGCTGCTCTCAGCCGTGCCCGCACACCGGAGCTCTGAGCCGTGCCCGCAGCTCCGGAGCTCTGAGCCGTGCCCGCAGATCTGGAGCTCTGCTCTCAGCCGTGCCCGCACACCGGAGCTCTGAGCCGTGCCCGCAGCTCCGGAGCTCTGAGCCGTGCCCGCAGATCTGGAGCTCTCTGCGCTCAGCCGTGCCCGCAGATCTGGAGCTGTCTAAATTCAGCCGTGCCCGCAGCTCCGGAGCTCCAGAGCTGGCTGCGCTCCGCAGCTCTGCCTCTCCCGGCAGGATGGTTCCCGCGGCCAGCTGGTGCTGATTCCCCCTCTCTGCTCCGGGCTCAGCCTCCCTCTGCCGCGAGGGCTCCAAAGGCTCCGTCCGTGGTGCGAGGGCAGCGCCCAGAGCAGCTCCGGGCTTGAGCCGCTGCTGGAACAGGGCGGCATTGCCGCGGCTCTGAGCCAGCATCGCCGAGCCTGCGGGGCTCAGGGTGATCTCTGAGCTGGAGCCACCCGGGCCCGGGCCTGGGGCTGCCCTCGCCGGGGCTCTGGCTGCAGCTGGGCACCTGCCCGTGCCCTGAGGGGGAGAGCAGAGGGCATCCCGTGGGACCGGGGACAAACTTCCCCTCACGAGTCTCGCTTTGTGCTGCTGTGCCCGGGAGAAGGCGCAGAGCCCCTTTTGATGAGCGCAGGGTCAGGCTGAGCTGGTCCCGGCCCCAGCTCTCACACCGAGGTTTGTCTGCCTGAAGGTGGGGAGTAAAGGCTCCTTGCCCTGCTGGGGCTCTCCAGGGGAAGCCTCTGTTTGCTAACAGTAAGAAAGTTCAGCTCCCTCATTTTAATGGTTAATTCATATCTCAGTGCGATCATTTGGGATCAAGCACAGAGTTTTCTGGAGGATCTCTCCCTCCCTGTCCCGGTGCTCCTGGAGCGTGGCTCCCTGGCTGCTGCTCCTGCTCAGCCCAACCCCACCCCTCACCCATGGCCCCGGAGGGGTGGGTGCCCTCCCCACCCTGTGCCAGGCCTGGGTGGGGCTGGATGGTGCTTTGCTGCTGCCCCCCAGGTGGCACAGGCTGCTGGGACTGTCCCCTGGTGGCACTGGGATGCTGGGACTGTCCCCTGCTGCCCAGGTGGCACAGGCTGCTGGGACTGTCCCCTGGTGGCACTGGGATGCTGGGACTGTCCCCTGCTGCCCAGGTGGCACAGGCTGCTGGGACTGTCCCCTGGTGGCACTGGGATGCTGGGACTGTCCCCTGCTGCCCAGGAGGCACAGGGTGCTGGGACTGTCCCCTGGTGTACAGGCCAGCACTCCCACCAGCAGCAGTCACAGTGCCCACGTGTCCCTTCCCGAGGGACTGACGGAAGAGAAGGTTTGCTAAGGATGTCACCTGCTCTCAGCCGTGCCCGCACACCGGAGCTCTGAGCCGTGCCCGCAGCTCCGGAGCTCTGAGCCGTGCCCGCAGATCTGGAGCTCTGCTCTCAGCCGTGCCCGCACACCGGAGCTCTGAGCCGTGCCCGCAGCTCCGGAGCTCTGAGCCGTGCCCGGCTCCGGAGCTGGCTGCTCTCAGCCGTGCCCGCACACCGGAGCTCTGAGCCGTGCCCGCAGCTCCGGAGCTCTGAGCCGTGCCCGCAGATCTGGAGCTCTCTGCGCTCAGCCGTGCCCGCAGATCTGGAGCTGTCTAAATTCAGCCGTGCCCGCAGCTCCGGAGCTCCAGAGCTGGCTGCGCTCCGCAGCTCTGCCTCTCCCGGCAGGATGGTTCCCGCGGCCAGCTGGTGCTGATTCCCCCTCTCTGCTCCGGGCTCAGCCTCCCTCTGCCGCGAGGGCTCCAAAGGCTCCGTCCGTGGTGCGAGGGCAGCGCCCAGAGCAGCTCCGGGCTTGAGCCGCTGCTGGAACAGGGCGGCATTGCCGCGGCTCTGAGCCAGCATCGCCGAGCCTGCGGGGCTCAGGGTGATCTCTGAGCTGGAGCCACCCGGGCCCGGGCCTGGGGCTGCCCTCGCCGGGGCTCTGGCTGCAGCTGGGCACCTGCCCGTGCCCTGAGGGGGAGAGCAGAGGGCATCCCGTGGGACCGGGGACAAACTTCCCCTCACGAGTCTCGCTTTGTGCTGCTGTGCCCGGGAGAAGGCGCAGAGCCCCTTTTGATGAGCGCAGGGTCAGGCTGAGCTGGTCCCGGCCCCAGCTCTCACACCGAGGTTTGTCTGCCTGAAGGTGGGGAGTAAAGGCTCCTTGCCCTGCTGGGGCTCTCCAGGGGAAGCCTCTGTTTGCTAACAGTAAGAAAGTTCAGCTCCCTCATTTTAATGGTTAATTCATATCTCAGTGCGATCATTTGGGATCAAGCACAGAGTTTTCTGGAGGATCTCTCCCTCCCTGTCCCGGTGCTCCTGGAGCGTGGCTCCCTGGCTGCTGCTCCTGCTCTGCCCGACCCCACCCCTCACCCATGGCCCTGGAGGGGTGGGTGCCCTCCCCACCCTGTGCCAGGCCTGGGTGGGGCTGGATGGTGCTTTGCTGCTGCCCCCCAGGTGGCACAGGCTGCTGGGACTGTCCCCTGGTGGCACTGGGATGCTGGGACTGTCCCCTGCTGCCCAGGAGGCACAGGGTGCTGGGACTGTCCCCTGGTGTACAGGCCAGCACTCCCACCAGCAGCAGTCACAGTGCCCACGTGTCCCTTCCCGAGGGACTGACGGAAGAGCAGGTTTGCCAAGGATGTCACTGGGCACCTGTTTTGATACAGTAGCTCCTCAGCATGGGGATTTTAAAGAAAACTCCTCCTTAGCCGAGGAGCTCTGCCTGTGGTGAGTTATTTCTGCAGCCTCCGTAATTAAAGCCTGCTCCCTTTTGTTTGGTTTCAATGGGTGATGGATCCCCGCGGTCCCAACTGTTTGTGTTTGTTGGAG